TTTGAGGGTTTCAGGGGCGATGTCAGCTGAACTGTGTTGTAGGTCTCGCGTGTGGTTTGTCTCCTTTTACACTGTTAAATGTCAGGGACCCGCGGGCCCGCGCTGCCACAGGCTGAGGGTGCACCTTGGTGGACACACCAAGGGGAGGGAGTTGACCACTGAAACACCCCCAAATTGCTCTTCAAAACAACAACACCAAAAATACAACCCATTTTGATTACAAACAACCCCCATTTCTCAGCCAAGTATTGCACTGATGATACCCGAGTAACAACGGCAGGGCACCGACAGCAAAGCGGTGCCTCAAACCACACCAAGGTTGCTTTATATGTAAAGAAAATTTGAGCGAGCTGCCCTGAAGAAAGGCCTAGTGCCGAGATGAGAGAGAGACAGAGAGATGTTTGGAGATGTTTAGCCAGTGCCCTTCTCCCCTGTGAGCCGCAGAGGCTCAGAGCGGTGCTGGCTTTGTAAAGGGAAAGGCCTTCATTTCTTCGTTTATCCCCCCAGCAGCGCTGGAGAGCGAGGTGGCTTCAATAAGCCTGGTGGTAAGTTTTTGAGCATTACAATGGATAGTGTTAAAAAAAAAAAAAAAAAAAAATTGCAGTCAAGTTTTTTTTTTTAGCACAAAGTGTAATTTTTTTATTCGTTAAAGTGGTTTAAAAAATGACAATATGCAACCAGACTGTAATGGGTACTGCCGGCGATGCCCAGGGGTATGCGGACACAGTGGAAGAGTTGAGCAACCACTCCTGTAATTTTGGGGAAAAGAAATGGTTTGGATGTAATAAATCTTTTTTTTTTTTTTAATATATATAGATATATTAAGTAACTTTTATTAATGAACTTAAAAACTGATTGGCTTGGTAAAACCTTTTAAAAAATCAGCGTTAATAATGGTTAATGGTTTGAAACCTGCTAAAAAAAAAAAAGAAATCAGTGTAATAGTGGTTAACGGTTTGAAAGCTGCTAAAAAAATCAGTGTAATAGTGGTTATTGGTTGGAAGAAATGCTTAAAACCAGTGTAATAGTGGTTTTTGGTTGGAAGAAGTGCTAAAAGAGCCACCTGATGGCCCAGTAAGGTGCAGTGCTGCTCTTGTGCGGCGCAGGTCGTAGCTAGTGTTGTGTGTGTCGGTTCTCCAGCCCGCAGGGCCCCCACTAACACCCTTCCCTGTGCTTCTCTCCCGCCTGGCAGGACACATGGAGGAAGGACCCGACCTGGATTTAGGTAATTCCCACCAAACTCCCTCCTGAGGCTGTAAAACTGAGTTTGTGTCCTCGCTCCAAGGGCTGCAGCCACTGCGGTGTCACCCCACTGCCTCTTCCAGCCTTTCTGGCTGTTCCATCGTTTCTTCATTCCCAAACAGCTGGAAAACCACCAGATGTGGTTGGGAGATGCACCCCCTTCTCTGCAGGAATTCAGGGGGTTGGGGGCTGCTCTGGAGCTCTTCCAGGGAGCCTGCAGCACCCCCAGAGCCTCGTCCTTGGCTTGTCCCTTCCTGTCACACAGGCGTGTCTGGAAGTTCTGCGTCAGCCTTCCAGCATCGGAAAAGGGGGGTGGATGTCCTTGTGTGGGAGCCCCGGGGGCACCAAGGTCTTCCTCATTTCTCTCCTCTGGGATGTGTCCTGAAATAACCTGGGGGTTCTGCCCACGTGGGTGGGCGTGGGCTCTGTCTGGCCGTGGCGCTCGGGAGGTGAGGTGGGGACAGTCCCCTCCCCTGGGCCCGGGGTTTCCTGTCACTCAGGGAGCAAAGCTGCAGCTGTGGAGAGGATGAGGGGATGGAAAGAACTGGGCCCTGGGGTATCCCTGCCCTTCCTCTGACCCCGGGAATTGTCTCCTAGGCCCCCCTATGGACCCGGAGGAGGACTCGGACAGCACTGCAGTCTATGTGCAGGGACTCAATGATAATGTGACCCTGGAGGATCTGGCAGATTTCTTCAAACAGTGCGGTGTTGTCAAGGTGAGGGGACACCAGTGACCCCGTGCTGGCAGAGGGAAAAGGATCACCCACCTCCTCCTCTTCCTCCTCCTCCCTGCTCATTGCTCACATCCTTCTGGCTCCTCATGTCCAGGCTCTGGGAGAGGCCTGGCAGGGCTGTTTAGGGCCTGTCCCTTCATTTTTTGGGGCAGTTGCTGTCATCCATGGTAGGCCTGGGGGCCCTTTCTTCTGTCCTGGAGTCCCTGGAATGAGGGACAGGGTAGAACAGAGTGAACCCCAGCTGGGCTGTGGGGAGACAGGCCTGGGGTGACATTGCACTGTCCCTTAGATGAACAAGAGGACGGGGCAGCCCATGATAAACCTGTACATCGACAAGGAAACGGGCAAGCCCAAGGGCGATGCCACCGTGTCCTACGATGACCCGTCCACTGCCAAAACTGCCGTGGAATGGTTCGATGGTGAGTGCTGGGGGGCTGGGATGGAATTCCAAAATCTCCCCCAAGTGTGGGGAGCACTTGGGTGCGGGTGTGTGAATCAGGATTCACCCATGCTGCTGCCGTTGTGTCCCTCGCAGGGAAGGATTTCCAGGGCAGCAAGCTGAAGGTGTCCCTGGCGCGGAAGAAGGGCCCGATGAACAGCCTGAGGGGCGGGATGCCCCCGCGGGAGCAGCGGGGGATGCCCCCACCCCTCCGTGGAGGTACCGTGCAGCCCCCCCGAGCCCTGCCCGCCCTTCCCGGGGCTCCCTGCGCTAACAGGGCTCCTTCCACAGGTCCAGGGGGCCCCGGTGGCCCTGGGGGTCCCAGCGGGCCCAGCGGCCCCATGGGCAGGATGGGGGGCAGAGGTGGAGACAGGGGTGGCTTCTCCTCGAGAGGACCGCGGGGATCGCGGGGAAACCCGTCCGGAGGGAGCGTCCAGCACCGCGCCGGGGACTGGCAGTGCCCCAACCCGTGAGTACCCACACCCCTGTGGGCAGTGCCCCCACACCCCTGTGGGCGGTGCCCCAGCCCATGAGTGCCCCCCACACCCCTGTGGGCAGTGCCCAACCCGTGAGTGCCCCCCACACCCCTGTGGGCAGTGCCCCCACACCCCTGTGGGCAGTGCCTCAGCCCGTGAGTGCCCCCCACACCCCTGTGGGCAGTGCCCCCACACCCCTGTGGGCGGTGCCCCAGCCCATGAGTGCCCCCCACACCCCTGTGGGCAGTGCCCCCACACCCCTGTGGGCGGTGCCCCAGCCCATGAGTGCCCCCCACACCCCTGTGGGCAGTGCCCAACCCGTGAGTGCCCCCCACACCCTTGTGCTATTCCTGCACCTGGGCCAGGGCAGAATCATCCCAATCATCCCCAAAATCACTGGCTGGGCCTTGCCAGGAAGCCACTTCCAGCTGGCACAGAGGGAGGGATGGGGTCACTCCTGAGGGCTGTGGGGGAGCCACGGCTCCTGTGGGCAGCCAGACCCGTGCCCCACGTCCTGTCCTTGTGTCTCCTCTCCTGCTCGTGCTTCCCAATGTCACCCCAGCTGGAATGCTGTCCCGCTCTGGCCTAACTGGAATTTGTACCCAGGGGCTGTGGAAACCAGAACTTTGCCTGGAGAACAGAGTGCAACCAGTGCAAGGCGCCCAAACCGGAGGGGTTCCTCCCACCCCCCTTCCCTCCTCCAGGTACGTTTGGGGGGTTCCCAGCCCCACTTCCCAGCAGGACACCGCAGGCCTGGCCTCAGGTTCCTTGGGGAATGGCTGGGCCAGCTCCAGGAGCTGCCAGGCCTTCATCCCTCCGTGAGCCATGACATGGAGACTGGGATTTCTCCTGTGCTGACTGGATTTGGGGGGGCTGTCAGCAGAGCACAGCTTAAACCTTAATGAACCCCAAATCCCCTCGGGTACCCAGCAGCTCCCAGCCCTTCTCCTGCCCGAGCTGGGCGTGCTGGATGGGGAGCAGGGGCCGGGCTGTGCTCCCTGGGCTCACCCCCGCTCTCTGCTCCTCCGCAGGCGGTGACCGCGGCCGAGGCGGCCCCGGGGGGATGCGGGGCGGGCGCGGCGGCGGCCTCATGGACCGGGGCGGGCCCGGAGGGATGTTCCGAGGCGGCCGCGGCGGAGAGCGAGGCGGATTCCGAGGAGGCCGCGGCATGGACCGAGGCGGCTACGGAGGAGGCGGCCGGAGAGGAGGAGGAGGCGGCGGCCCCGGGGGACCCCCCGGACCCCTCATGGAGCAGATGGGAGGGGGAGGCAGAGGACGGCGCGGAGGGCCGGGAAAGATGGACAAGTATGGATGGAGAGTGGGACAAGGGGACACTGGGGAGGGGGAGACCCTGATGGGGACAAGATGGGGGTGGCTGGGGTGGGTGAATGGGTGGAGAGGCAAGGGGTGGGATGGGGTGGGTGAATGGGTGGCTGGGTGAGGGGTTAAGGAGCCCCCCTGACCCGGGGAGGGCTCCTGGACCCCACGACTGACCCCTGTCCCTCCTGCCCACAGGGGCGAACACCGCCAGGATCGCCGAGACCGGCCCTACTAACGCCGCCCCCCCAGAGCCGCATTTACTACCAGATTTATTTTTTAAACCAGAAAAAAAAAATGTTTTAAATTTATAATTCCATATTTATAATGTTGGCCACAACATTATGAGTCCTCCTTGTCTGTACTTTAGTATTTTTCACCGTTTGTGGAGAAACATTAAAACCAAGTTCAACGGTAGCGTGATGAATTCTTTCTTCCCCCCCTCCCCCAAAATAAAACCGGTTGTTTAACGCGCCCCCGCCCCCCTCCCCGCCTGTAACGCTGTGAACGGTTGTGACGGTTGTTTTTTTAAATAAAATTCCCGCTGTTTGTAACCGCACCATTGCTGGCCTTTCTTGAGAGCACCCGGGGGGGGCGCGGCCCCCGGGCCCGGGCCGGGGTAGGAGGGGGTGCAGGGGAGGGACGGAGCCCCCGGTGCATCCCGCTGTGCCTCAGTTTCCCCAGCGGGTGTGAGTTCCGGGCAGGGAGGGAGGCTGGGGGAGGAGGAGGCAGATCAATGGGAGCGGGGAGCCACACCCGGGCGGGGGTGGGGGAATGTCACCGAGCGTCGCTATGTGTCACCCCCTATGTGCCCCTCCCGTGTCCCCCTAAATCGCGCCCGTGCCCCCCCCCCGTGTCTGTCTGTGCTGCCCCCCGCCCGTGTCCGTGTCCCCCCTCAGGCCATGTCCCCGTGCCCCCCTCCCCGTGTCCGTGTCCCCCCCGCTCCCGCTCCCGTCCCCGCCCGCCGCCGCCGCCGCCCCCGTCCCGGCCCTTTCTGGGCCGCCTCCAACTTCCCGGCCGGGGCGCGGCGGCGGCGGCGGCGGCGGCGGCTCCGCGGGGCTGCGGCGGCCGAGCCTCGTTGGGCGCCCCCCGGGCCCCCCCGGCTCCCCCCGGGCCGCTGCGGGCGGCCGATGGCGGCGGGGGCCGCGGCGGGGCCCCCCCGGCGCTGGGAGCCGCGGCCCGGCCCGGCGCGGGGAGCGGGCCCGGCCCGGCCGTAGCGGAGCGCGGAGCGGCGGCGGTGAGTGTGGCCGGGGGGGTGGGCGGGAGGCCCCGGGCCCTGCGTCCCCTCCCCGTGGCCCCGCAGGTGCCGAGCCCCTCCCGCCGCCCCCGCTGGATCGGCCCGCAATGGGGAGCCCGGCGGCGAGAGGGACCCCCCCACCCCGGGACAGACACCCCCGGGATGGACAGACGGCCCCCAAGGGACAGGGGGACCCCCGGTACCGACACCCCCGAGCACGGACACCCCCCCTCCCAGGGTAGGGACCCCCCCGGCAGAGACAGCCCCCCCCCCGGGGGCAGGGACCCCCCATCCCCTCAGGAAGGACACCCCCGACAAGGACACCCCCTCCCGAGGGACAGGGACACCCCCCGAGAGGATCCCCCACTCTGGAGGGATGGAGACCACCCCCCAACAGGGTCCCCCCATCCCCGAGGGCAGCAGTGCCACCCCCCCCCCCCCGCCCAGGTGAGGGGACCCTCCCCACAGGGACACCCCTCCGAAGGTAGGGGACACCCCCTGGGCATCAGGGACACCCCAGGGGCAGGACCCCCCTCCAGGGGTGTGGGGCTGGGCTGGGGGTGGCAGTGGAGGTCAGGGTGACCCCCCCCTGCTGCGCCATCCCTGCCTCTTGTACCCCCACCCAGGGCAGGGACAGCCGGGGGTCTCCCCGAGGGGCAGCCCCCACCCCATGGCTGAGTGCTGGGACCCCAATCCCCCAAAACCCCAATGCCCCAATCCCCCACCCCCTGCAGCCCCTCGGGGTTGAACCCCACCAGGGTAAAGGGGGAGCTCCCTGCCCCTGGCACTGCCATCCCTCGGGATGTCACCTGCTCCAGGGTGGGGACACCATGGTGAGGACACCCACCATGACTGGGCAGCTTTTAGGGCGGGGTTGGGGAGGGATGTCCCCTCTGTGCCACAGCCCCCCAAGGGTGGCATGGGTGACAAGGGACTCATTAACCTGGAGGGGGTCACAGGATGAGGTGACACGGAGTGGGGAATGGGGGCACACATGGTGGGGGGACATGAGGGGAGGGGACATGGGCTGTGGGGGAGGACACACGGGGTGGAGGGACAGGGAGTGGAGGGGGCTGCAGGTCCTGGCAGGGATCACGCAGGGGTAGAGGTGGCAGTGGTGGTGGTAACGTGTGGGGGAAACTGAGGCACAGAGGGGTCACCGAGGTTGGTGGGTGGTTTGGGGGGGCTTTGGGGGGTTCCTGCCCATGACAGCCCCCGTTGTCCCCCGCAGGCACCTGGCCATGGCCGACCCCAGCCACATCCAGTCGGCCGCCTCCAAGAGCATCCGCCCGTTCCGCTCCAGCGAGGAGTACCTGGAGGCCATGAAGGAGGACCTGGCCGAGTGGTTCAACACCCTCTACGACCTGGACATCCAGGTGGACACCTTCCTGGAGAGCCTGGAGACCGGCTGTCACCTGTGCCGCCACGCCAACAACGTCAACCGCACCGCGCTGGACTTCCAGGAGCGGCACCCCGAGGCGGCCGCCCGCATGCGCGTGCCCCGGAACGAGGTGGTGTTCCAGGCCAAGAACGTGGTGCCCGGCTCCTTCATCGCCAGGGACAACGTCTCCAACTTCATCCAGTGGTGCCGGCAGGACCTGGGCATCCAGGACGTGCTCATGTTCGAGACCAATGACCTGGTGCTGAAGAAGAACGAGAAGAACTTTGTGCTGTGCCTGCTGGAGGTGGCCAGGAGGGGCTCCAAGTTCGGCATGCTGGCCCCCATGCTGATCCAGATGGAGGAGGAGATCGAGGAGGAGATGAGGGACCAAATGGCGGAGGGGGCGCCGGGCGCGCGCCGGGAGAGCCGGGAGCCGCGGGCGGGCGCCTTCCCCAGCCGGGCCCGGCCCGTGGCCCTGTGCGACCTGCGGAACCTGGACGAGCTGGTGAGACACGCGCTGCCCGCCGAGCCCTGCGCCTGGGTGAGGGCCCTGCGGCCGCCCAGGCCGGGCCTCGCACGGTGCTCGGGGGAGCTCCTGCCCAGCCACCCAGCAGGGAGCTCTGTGCTTCATGGAGCTCCTCTCTGTCCGCCCAACAGGGTGCCCTCTGGCTGCTGGGAGGTCCTCTCTGTCCACACAGTGGTCACTTGGAGGTCCCACCTGTCTATGGCCCATGGGAGAACCTCTCCGTCCACCCAGTGGTCATTCTGTGGTTACCAGGAGGTCCCACCTGTCTATGGCCCATAGGAGAACCTCTTTGTCCACCCGGTGGTCACTTGGAGGTCCCACTTCTCTATGGCCCTAGGAGAACCTCTCTGTCCACCCAGTGGTCATTCTATGGTCACTAGAAGGGCCCATCTGTCTATGGCCCATGGAGGAACCTCTCTGTCCACCCAGTGGTCATTCTGTGGTCATTAGGAGGTCCCACCTGTCTATGGCCTGTGGGAGAACCTCTCTGTCCATCCAATGGTCACTCTGTGGTCTCTAGAAGGGCCCATCTATCTATGGCCCATGGGAGAGCCTCTCTGTCCACCCAGTGGTCATTCTATGGTCACTACGAGGTCCCACCCCTCTATGGCCTGTGGGAGAACGTCTCTGTCCACCCAGTGGTCACTAGGAGCTCCCACCTGTCTATGGCCCTCTCTGTCCACCCAATGGTCATTTTATGGTCACTAGGAGATCCCACCTCTCTGTGGTCAGTGGGATGTTCTCCCTGTCCACCCAGTGGTCACTCTGTGGCCACCAGGAGGTCCCACCTGTCTCTGTGCACCCAGCAGGGTCCATGGAGGGTCCCACCCATCTCTTTGGCCCCATGTCTGTCTCTGTGGCCCCTCGCTGTCCTGTCTGTGTTCCCCATGAGATGCTCCATGATCCATGTGAGCTCCCCCTGTTCCCCCAGCGGGGCATCCTCTGGACCCTGGCAGGTCCCACCTGTCCCTGTGACCCCAGAAGTCCTTCCTGCCCGTCCAAAGTGCACTCAGTGGTCCGGGCGAGGTTCTACCTGTCCCTGTGACCCGTGGCAGGTCCCCCTGCCCACCCTGCGCTCCACAGGATGTGCTCCACCCACGCACCCACCCACCCACCCCAGCTCTCCATGGCTACGGCAGCTCCTCCCCACGCACCGCGGCTCCCGTGGGGCCTCCTGACTCTGTCCCGGTGCCTGTGCCCGCAGTCACAGCGGGGACACACACACCGGTGCCACCTGCGCCACCTGCTCCCCGCCAGGGGTGACCCACAGCGGTGCCACCCCAGGGAGGGACATGGGGACACGGCAGCCCCAGTTTGGGGTGTCAGGAGGGGGTGCGGGGGCTCAGGCCGGATTAGAGGCGGGTGCGGGATCCGTCCCGCGGGTGAGCAGCGGATTAACCCGGGGGGGACAGGGGGGCTCAGCCCTCCGCTGCCTGCCTAAGCCTTTTTTTAATTGAAACCCCAATTCCTCATTAAGTCCCTCATTAAGGAGCATCCTGACCCCCCCAATCCGCCCAGGGCTCCACCGGGGGGGCTCCCCCATGGCTGCCGCCCCCCCAAGCCCCCCTGGCCGGGCTCTGCATTTTTCCGGGCTGCGTAATTCCTCGCCATCCATCGGCTTTTATGGGCAGCGCCAGCGCCGGGGAGGAGCCTGGCGGGGCAGGACCCGGCCCGCCTGTCCCCAGGTGCCCCCCAGGGGTGACCGCAGGGTCACGACCCCTCCTCACTGCACCCCCCCCGCTCCGTGACTCAGTTTCCCCGGTTTCCCCCATCCGTGTCACCCGGATGGGAACCGGAGTGGCCACATCCTTCCTTCCTCTCCCCGCTGTATGAACACCCCCCGAAATCACGGAATTATGGAAGAAACCCCAAATTTGGGGGCTCGGCGGCGCCGCGTCCCCCCCGCAGCCCGGGCGGGGCAGGATCGGCCGCGTCCCCGCGTCCCCCGCGGCTCCCGGTTAATCCCTGACGTCAGGCCGGGGATAGAGGCGGCAGCTGGCACTGCCCACAGCCCCACAGCCCCACAGCCCGGGGTGCCCTGCCCGGCCCCCAAACCCGCCCGTGCCACACCCTCGCGTTTGGAGGGAGGCAAACCCCCCGGGATTCACCCCATTTCTGTGGGTCCTGCCCCATTTCTGGGGGATCTGGGGGTGAATCCCCCGCGGTTCAGCATCAGTGGGGTGGGGGATGTTTGTGCGTGTGGACCCCGAATGAGGAGAGCTGTGCCCGGGGGTGCCCGGCATGGGAGGAGACCCCGGCCCCGCTGCCCCCCCAGTGCTCCCCACGGAGTGTGGGGGGCACAGAGCCCTCCATGTGTGCCCATCCGAGGGGCTGCCCCTATAGCGGGGATCCACACTGACCCTACAGGGGGGTCTGTGCCCCACTGACCCTGTAGCAAGGTTCCTGTGCCCACCAGCCCTATAGTGGAGGGTCCATGCCTCACCACCCTATAACGGGGTTTGTGCCCCACTGACCCTATAGTGGGGGTTCTGTGCCCACCAGCCCTATAACTGTGCCCCACTGGCCCTATAGCAGGGGGTCTGTACCTACTGATCCTATAACAGGGGATCTGTGCCCTACTGACCCTATAGGGGGGTTTTTATGGCCACTGGCCCTATAGTGGAGGGTCCATGCCTCACTAGCCCTATGACAGGGTTTGTGCTCACTGACCCTATAGGGGGACATCTGTGCCCACCTGCCCTATAACTGGAGGGTGTGCACCCCACCGGCCCTATAGGGGGGTTTCTATGCCCACCAGCCCTATAACTCTTTCTCACTGGCCCTATAACAGTGGGTCTGTACCTACTGATCCTATACCAGGGGGTCTGTGCCCCACTGACCCTATAGGGGGGTTTCTATGCCCACCTTGCCAGGGTCTATGCCCTGCTTGCCCCATAATGGGGTGTGTGCCCCAGCAGCTCTGTAACGGGGGTCTGTGCCCCACCGGCCCTATAGGGGGGTTCTGGGCCCCGCTGACCCTACAGCAGGGAGTCCCCGCCCCGCTGACCCCTCCCCTGTGTGCCCGCAGGTGCGGGAGATCCTGGGCTGCTGCTCCTGCCCCTCGCAGTTCCCCATGGTCAAGGTCTCGGAGGGCAAGTACAAAGTGGGCGACTCCAACACGCTCATCTTCGTCAGAGTAAGAGCCACCCCCTCCCCATTGTCCCTCCCCTTGCCCCATTGTCCCCACTCACCCCATTGTCCCTCCTCTCACCCCATTGTCCCCTCTCATCCCATTGTCCCTCCCCTTGCCCCATTGTCCCCCCCTCACCCCATTGTCCCTCCTCTCATCCCATTGTCCCCCCTCACTCCATTATCACCCCTCACTCCATTGTCCCTCCTCACCCCATTGTCCCCTCTCATCCCATTGTCCCCTCTCTCGTCATTGTCCCCCTCATCCCGCTGTTCCCCTTCACCCCATTATCCCTCCCCTCACCCCATTATCACCCCTCACCCTGTTGTCCCCCCTCACCCCATTGTGCCCCCACACCCCATTGTCCCCCCGGGCCCCTCTGCCCTCTCCTTCCCCCTCTCCTGGGCAGGGTGTGTGGGGTCCCAGGCTGGGTTTCCCACCCATGCCAGGTCCCAGGGTGGCTTTGGTGGCTTTGGTGGCCTTTGGGGCCGGCAGGTGACAGCGCTGCCCGCAGGTGCTGCGGAGCCACGTCATGGTGCGGGTTGGCGGCGGCTGGGACACCCTGGAGCATTACCTGGACAAGCACGACCCGTGTCGCTGTGCTGCCCTCTGTGAGTGTCACCCCGCGGCCACTGCCACCCCCTCGGGACGATCCTGGCTCCTGGGGGCTCCATTCCTGGCTCTACAAGGGATCCGTGCCTGGATTCTCCATGGGGCCCCTTTCCCTGGTTCTTTATGGGGTTTTGTTCCCTAATTTTCTATGGGGTTCCATTTCCTGGCTCTCCCAGGGGCCCCTTTCCCTGGTTCTCTATGGGGTTTCGTTCCCTGATTTTCTATGGGGTTCCATTCCCTGGCTCTCTATGGGTTCCATTCCTGGATTCTCCATGGGGCCCCTTTCCCTGGTTCTCTATGGGGCCCCTTTCCCTAGTTCTCTATGGGATTTTGCTCCCTGATTTTCTATGGGGTTCCATTCCCTTGCTCTCCAAGGGATCTGTTCCTGGATTCCCCCTGGGGCCCCTTTCCCTGGTTCTCTATGGGGTTTTGTTCCCTGATTTTCTATAGAGTTCCATTCCCTGGCTCTCCATGGGTTCTGTTCCCAGATTCTCCTTGGGGCTCCGTTCTCTGTGGGGCTCTTCTCCCTGGTTCTCTGTGGGGTTTTGTTCCCTAATTTCCTATGGGGTTCCATTCCCTGGCTCTCCATGGGTTCTGTTCCCAAATTCTCCCTAGGCTTTATTTTCTGACTCTCCATGGGTACCCTGTCCCTAGTTCTCTGTGGGGCTTTGTTCCCTAATCCTCTGTGGTGTTCCATTCCCTGGCTCTCCTTGGGACCTTGTTGCTGATTTTCCATGGGGCTCCATTCTCTGGTTCTCTGCAGGGCTCTGTTCTGTTGGGGCTCTATTCCCTGATTTTCTGTGGGGTTCTGTTCCCTGTTTCCCCCTGGGATCCCTTCCTTGGTTCTCCCTGATTTTCTCTGGGGTTCCCTTCCCTGGGGCTGGGCTCCGCAGGGCACTGATTCTGCTGGAAGGGGGAGTGACAAAAGTGGGGCTTTTCCCCAAATTCCCGAGGTGTCACCACCTCCGGGAGTGGCCCGGCTGGAAAATGGGGATGCGGGGATGGGAGGGAAGGGGAAGGGAGGGAAGGAAGGGCTTGCTGAGCGCTGTCCCCCTGACCTCCTCCCCTCTGTCCCCCCAGCTCACCGCCTGCCGCAGCCCCGCGCCCCCGGCATGTCCCCCCAAAAAGCGGCTCCCGGCGCCTCCTCGTCGTCCCGCACCTCCAGCCCCAGCGTCCCCCGGCGCCCCCGGCCCGCCGCGCCCCCCCAGCCCCGGGGGGACCCCCCGAAGCCCCCCCGGCAGGAGGGGTTGCCCCCTCGGGGGGGAGCCGCCCCCTGCTCCGGCAGCCCCTCCCGGAGCCCCGCCGAGCCGCGGGCAGCGGGGACCCCCAGGTACGGCCCCACCGGGGCTGGGGGGGACCCCAAAACTGCGCCGAGACCCCGCGGCAAGGGCTGAGCCCCCCGAGGGGATGGGGGAACGGGGACGGTAATGGGGAAAGCGCTGGGAGGCGGTGGGGGGGCAGTGAGGGGACATTGGGGACAGTGGGGACAGTGGGAGGTACTGGGGGGGAATGGGGTAACTGGGCTGAACTGGGAGATGCAATGGGAGGATCGTGGGGGACAGTGGGGGGGAAATGGAATCATTAGGGGCAGTGGGGGGAAATGAGGAGCAAGTGGGGGAATCATTTGGGGCAGTGGGAGGTACGAGAGGGGGAATTGGGGGTGCACTGGGGAAGTCATGGGGGAAAATGGGGTGAGTGGTACAGAGGGTGAATTTGGGGTGAAATGGGGGTGCTGCAGGAAAGAATGGGGGAATGGGGGTGCACTTAGGGAAGGCAGGGGAGGGGAAATGGAGGATGACAATGGGGTTCGGTGGGGGGCTATGGGGACAGACGATGGGGCACTGGGAGGTGATGGGGGTGGAATGGGGGGACAGTGGGACAGGGAAATGGGGAAAGCAATGGGGGATCAAGGGAGGGGAATAGTGGGGGGCAGCAGGGGGAGGGAACGGGGCTACAAGGGGGAAATGGGGGGGTGCATTGGAAGCTGTGGGATTTTGTGGGGGTTCAGTGGAGGGGAACAATGGGGACAATAGGGGTTCACTGGGGTGCAGTGGGGAACAAGGGGGAATGGAATGAAGGGGCAGTAGGGGAAATGGGGGTGCAGTGGGGTGTGAAATGGAGTGGGATGGGATTGGCAGGGGGGGAATGTGGGGTGCCGTGGGGGAGTTCAAAGCAGGGAGTGTGCAGGGGGGGAAATGGGGTGCAATGGAGGGAATGTTGGGTGCAGTGGGGGTGAGACAGGAGAATGAGAGGATTCAATGGGGGTTTAATGGAGGGGGGAAATGGGGGCCCCCCATTTGATTTTGATTTTCTATGGGGTTCCATTCCCGGAGTTCCCACTCCCGGAGTGGGGAGGGAAATGGGGTTCTGGGGTGTGCAGTCAGGAGCAATGGGCAGTGACGGGGGAGAACAGGGGGAATGGGGAAGGGAAATGGGGTTCAGTAGTGGGAATATGGGGTTCGGTGGGGGTGCAGTGAGGATGGAAATGGGATTTAAGGTGAGGAATGGGACTGCAGTGAGGAGGAATGGGGATAAAGGGGGAAGAATGAACGGGTGCAGTGAGGGGGGAAATGGGGTGCAATGGAAGGAATGTGGGGTGCCATGGGGGAGAATGGGCAGGGTTGGGTGAGGAGGGGTGCAATGGGGGGGCACTGGGGGGGGGCTCCAGAGGAGGGATGCAAGGGGGGATTTCAATGGGGGAATGCAATGGGTGGGGGCACCGTGGGGTTCCACCAGGAGGGGTGTAAGGGCGATTTCAATATGGGAGTGCGATGGGGGTGGTTCCATGAGGAGGGGTGAAATGGGGGGATCTTAATGATGGAATGCAATGGGGGGGCACTGGGGGGGTTCCACGAGGAGGGGGTGCAATGGGTGGGGGCACTGTGAGGTTCCACGAGGAGGGGTGCAATGGGGGATTTTAATGAGGGAGTGCAATGGGGGGATCTCCATGAGGAGGGGTGCAATGGGGGGATTTTAATGGGGGAGTGCAATGGGGGGCACTGGGGGTATTCCACGAGGAGGGGTAAAAGGGGGGTATCAATGTGGGGTTCATGGAGTCTCTGCAATCGGGGGGTGCCCTGGGGGGTCACCAGTGTTCTCACTCCCCCCTCTGTCCCGTGCCGCCCCCAGGCCCCGCGCCCCCGCTCGCTCCCGGCGCTGTTCCGGTGACAGCGACTCCTCGGCCGCCTCGGCGCAGAGCGGCCCCCGCCGCCCCCCGGCCCGCCGGGACCCCCCGGACCCGCCCGCCCCGGGCTCCCCCCGCGCCTCCCGCAGCCCCGGGCGCGGCTCGGCGCCGCTGCTGCTCATCCGCCGCCGGCCCGACGGGCAGCACTCGTGGGCACGGGCCGAGCCCCCCCCGGCCGGGAGCCCCGGCGGGCGGCGCGATCCCCGGCCCGGCCCCGGGGACCCCGAGGAGCTGGCGCGGCGGCTGCGGGCCCCGCGCTGGCTGGAGCCCGGGCAGGAGCAGCGGCTGTTCCAGCGGCTGGAGGAGGAGTTCCTGGCCAACACGCGGCTGCTGGAGCAGCTGGGGGACACGGAGAGCGCCCCCCCTGCGCCCCCCGCCGCCGCTGCTGACTCGGCCTATTGCTCCTCGTCATCCTCATCTTCCTCCCTGAACGTGTTCGCCAAGCACGGGCTGCCCGCCGAGGAGGGGCGGCGGGGCGGGAGCAGCGACGGGAACAACAACGGCAACAACAACGGGAACAGCAACGGGAACCACGGCGGGTGCCCCGCGCTGCCGCCCAACCCCGGCCTGGCGGACGCGAGGCGCCGCTCCACCTTCTCCAGCTCCTCGGACGAGAGCTGCTGCTTCCCGGCCTCGTGGGACAACCACCGGGACCCGGCGGGGAACCCCGGCTCCGACACGGACTGGGCCGCGGGGGAGGACGAGCTGATGGAGATGGAGGAGAGCCCCGGGCCGGGGGTCCCCGCGGCCCCGCGGCGGCCCTGGGCCAAGCCCCGGCTGGACACGCAGCCCCACAGGGCGCCCTCGCGCATCCCCACGCCCCAGCGGGCCCCCAACGGCAGCGCCAGGGCCTGGGGGGCTCTGCAGGGCGCCCCCTCCTCCCTCCTGGACCGCGAGGGGCTGGAGGAGAACGCCTGGCCATGAGGGGTCAATGGCAGCTCCTGGGGACAGCCCCGCGCCGCTGGGGACGGTGGAGGCGGCACCCATGGCCGCAGAGCTGGGGTGGCCAGGACCCCTTCACTTGGTGACTGTTGGCATTGGGGGGCCCTGCAAGGAGCCCCCAGCCCCAGAGGTGCCAGGGGTGTCCCCATGGCCTGGGAGCAGCTCCAGGGGGCAGGCGTGTGGGCAGGGCAGGGTGGCCAGAGCAGAGCTGGGAATGGGGCTGGAGAGCACCCAGTTCTCTTCATCTCCTCACTCTTCTCCACTTGTTTTCCTTATCTTGACCTTCTCTTCTTGTCTTCTCCTCCTCTTCTTGCTATTCTTGTCATCCTCCTCCTCTCATCTTCTCTCTGCTCTCTTCTTTTGGGCTGCCTCCTCCTCTTCTCCTCTTGGCCTTCACATCCTTATCCCTCATCTTCTTCTCTTCTTGACCTTCCCCTCTTCTCTTCTTGGCCTCATCACCACCTCCTCGGCCACTTTCTCCTCTCCAGTCTCTCCTCTCCAGCCCTGAGATGACTTGGGGACATGCAGTTTGTCACCACCAGCCCTGTTCCAGGGCAGGGGGGGTCACTGTTCCCTCTCCAGCCCCCAGCACTGCCCCCAGCTCGTGTTGCTGTCCCCAGGGTGGGACAGGGCTGTGTCCCCACCCCTGCATGTCCTCTGCAGCCAGTAAAGACCAACGGAGCTGAGCCCACCCTGTCTGCTCATCTGTCCAGGGGGATTCAGCCCCAGGCCCCGGGGAGGGTGGAAGCAGTGAAGAGCTGAGTCCCAATGTCCTGGACCCCCTTACAGCCACCAGGACCCTCCAGAGGTGTCCCTGGAGCCCCAAGTGCCCCATGGCCAGGGACCTTCACCCCAGGGCTGCTGGCCCAGGGGGACACAGCAGTTGTGGGTCACCAGGAGGGGCCAGACCGTGGTGGTGACTTCCCTGCTGTGACTTTGGGGGTTCCAAAGCAGGGTGGCCACTGTGCTCCCCGCACACCTGCTCTGGTGTCCAGCCCCAGAGTGGTGCTGGTGGCCCGTGGGGTGTCCCAGAGCAGCACCAGTGATTTGTGGGGTGTCCCAGAGCAGGACTGGCTGCTGCTGCTCATCACCCACCCACAGGGACCAGCAGCACCTCCTGGGGACCCCACACTTGTCCCCAGCCCCAGGAGGGGCTCGGGGCACCCAGCCTGGACACCATGGACAGTGCAGGGTCACTTTGGTGGGTCCCTGAGAGGCTCCAGGAGCAGAGCCACGAGCTCTCCAGGCCCTTCCTGTCCCCAAGGGGTGACTGGCCCCGTGTCCCTGTCCCAGCCCTGCCCATCTGCTGTGTCAGGCCTTGCTGTGCCAGAGGGTTTGGTTTATCTGGCCCTGCAGGGCTGGCAGGAAGCTCCCAGGACCCTGCTTCCCTCGGGGTCACCAGGCCATGGCCACCCCAGCAGTGTCCCCACGGGCTGGTGTCACCTTTATTCAACATTCCCTCAAAGCAGTGAACATTACAATATATTTATCTTTCATATATTAGAGATTTCCTGCTTCCAGGGAGGGGGGACCCATGGCTTGATTTGGGGGGGACAGGAGCAGTGGGAGCCCCAGGGGGGAGCAGAGGGAGCCGTGGGGCTGGGCTGGGGGACAGGGGACACTCTGAGCCCTCCTGCCCCCCTGGCAGGGGCTGGAAAAGCCCTTTTGAACCTGCACCTTAACTACAGCCTCAGTTGTGGGATCCTCAAGCCCTTCTGGGAGCTTTGGGAAGGGCTCCCATGGGGAGGAGATCCTGGGAAGGGCTCACCCACAGCTCTGCTGAACCAGGGAGAGCCAAAGCTGCTTCCCACCTGCTCCAGCCCCAAATCCAGGGCTCCAGGGGGATCTGCAGCCAATCCCACAGCACTCTGGGCCCCCCAGCAGCTATTCCCAGGGTTTGGAATGCTGAACCCACCACCAGCCAGCACTCCATGAGAGCCAGGAGCAGGAGCTGGGGCTTTTTGGGATGTGGAGGGTGGAACTGGGATGTGGAGGGAGCAGCACCAGGAGGAGCACAGGGCATCACTCACACGTGGATTGCTGCAGGGAGGCAGGACTGGGGACAGCCCCCTGCCCCCTCTGCTCCCCCAGGACAGGGAGAAGCCCAGGGGCTGGGTCCTGGGCAGGGGGGAAGGGGACATGCACACGGATCCAGCCCTGCTCCCTCGGGTGGGAATGGGACGGGAGGAGGAGGAGGAGGAGGAGGATGAGGAGGGGCTGCAGCAGCACCTCAGTTCTTCAGGATGGTCTCATAGGCTTGGTAGATGTACTGGGACACCTCTGGTGCTCGGCATTTCAGGGATAACTGTGGGGAGAGAGGGAACAGCGGGGTCATGGCATCCCCCCCATGCTGGAGAGCCCCCAGCCCCAAAGCAGAGCCCTGCATGCTGCAGCTCCCTCCCACGGGGCACTCCAGCTCCTGACTGCAGCTGCAAAAAGGTTATCAAAGCCCTGCAAGCCCTCCCAGGGCACAGCCATCCACATGCAGCACAGGCAGGGAACAGGCAGGGGCAACACTCCAGCTTTTGGCATTGGATTCAGTGCCTGGTGCTCCAGGGAAGTGAAGGGTTCCCCAAAAACATCGTCCTTTGCGAAGAGGAATGAGCCCCTTCAGGCGTTTGCTTAAATATGACATCATTCCCAAAGCAATTAGCTCCTCAAGCAGGGAAAGCTCATAGAGAATCCTCTGGGATAAGGATTTTCAGCTATTTCAGGATTTTTCTCATCCCCAGTGACACCAGCAGGGCAATGGGGACATCCCAACCCTTGGAAACGTCCCCTCCTTGTGCCAGCCCTGCTGGGAAGGAGAGGCAGGAGGCACCAGGAGACTGCCAGGGCAGGGAAAACATTGGGAAAGGGAGGAATATCCAGGCAGCAGCCAGGGAGAGCCCAAAGCCAGGGAAAAACCAATCTCTAACCTCCAAATCCTGCAAGAGCAGCGAGGCCGGCGAGGGCGGGCGGCGGGACAGACACAGAGAGAGGAGTCAGGGTGACACAGCTGGCCCCACCCCTCCCCAAAGGCTGGCAGGGACAGGGGAGGGGACAGGGACAGCAGGACATGGGGTGGCTCATGGGTGAGGAGCAGAGAGACCCCTGCTCAGGGGTTCCATGGAGCTGGGTGGGTTGGGAGCCCTGTGTGTCCCTCAGCTGTGCCCAGAGGAGCAGTGCCACCCTCCCCACGACAGAGGGACAGCAGGGCTGGCACCAGGGGAGGTCCCAGAGCAGGGATGTGCCCTCAGCCCCGGGTTTGGAGCAGGCAGGGATGGGATGTACCGTGAAGCTGGGGTTGCTGGGCTGGATCCGCAGCTCTGCCAGCACCCAGATGCCGTTGGTGAGCTTCAGGGACTGGTAGAGCATGTCCTGGCCCTCCACGTTCCTCTTGGCAATGGTGAAGATGTTGCTGCCTTGGAGTTTGCTGCTCACAGCATCTGGGATGGGAGAGAGAGAGGCTGAGGGGCTGGGCTGAGCCCCTGCTCCCCTTGGAGCTGCTCCTGCCCCACCTCCTCCCCTCCTCGTCATGGAGGAGGCTTAGAGTGGGTATTAGGGGGAATTTCTTCATGGAAAGGGTGGCACAGCTGCCCAGGGCAGTGCTGGAGTCCCCTCCCCTGCAGGGACTGAACAGCCACGTGGATGTGGCACTTGGGGACAGGGTGAGTTAAGTGTGACCCAGGTCCTTGTGAGGGGTGGGACCCACCTGCGTTGAGGGAACAGTCTTTGATCTGGAACTGGGTCTCGTTCTCGTTGGGAATGTCCTTCCAGGTGGCCAGGAACGTCTGTCTCTCTGCAGGGAGGGGGGACACCAGCGCTGAGGGAGCTGCCAGACTGGCCACCCTCCAAAGGTGACACCACACAGGTGACATGGCAGCCCATGTATGTCACCCTGCCACCCACCCCAGCAGCCTCAGGGCAGCCACCTGCCCTTGGGGGCTCACCCAATGGGATCAAGAAGGTTCCAGGGGCTGGGATGGCACCTAGGGACAGGTGACAGAGCACACCTTGCTGGAGCCATGCTCACCCCACTCACCCATCTTGCCATCCTCCACGAACAGGATGTGCAGGGGGTACAGGGTGCTGAAGTAGAAGACGTCAATGTTGTTCTTCACTGCCACCTGGGGTGGAAGGACACGGGGATTTCAACACCTCAGGTTCCCAAAATGTCCCATCCCATCTCAAAATGTCCCATCCCCATCCCATCCCATCCCATCCCCATCCCAAAATGTCCCATTCCCATCCCAAAATGTCCCATCCCATCCCATCTCCATCCCATCCCCATCCCCATTCCAATCCCATCCCCATTCCTCATCTCATCCCAAAATGTCCCATCCCATCCCAAAATGTCCCAACCCCATTCCAAAATGTCCCATCCCCATCCCCATTCCAATCCTATCCCCATCCCAATCCCATCCCCACTCCCATTCCCCATCCCATCCCCTCCCCTCCCCATCCCTCTGGAGCCAGCTGTCACTGCACAAGCCCCTGGTCCCTGCTGTCCCACCTCCCTGTGGATGTCTCCAAGGGCCCCTGCCCTGTCCCCGTGTCCCCAGGAGGGGACAGCCCCGTGTTGCCCACCTGGAGGTTGTTGAGGGGCTCCATCTTCATGACAGAGCCCACGGTGTTGAGGGGCAGGGAGATCTCCACAGACTGGTTGGGAGCCAGAGGTGCATGAACCTGCAGAGGAGCTGCGGGGGCCAGGCCGAAGCTGGGGGACACCAGGGAGGGCAGGGGTCAGGCTGGGGACAGCAGGGGATGGCACAGGGTGCTGTCCATCCAAGTGCTCCCTGCCTTCCTCCATGGGCATCACAGGAATCCCCTCACTGTCCCTGCACTGTCCAGGATGGGGCTGGTTCCTGCCTTGCCCACCCTCAAATCTGCCCCCTTCCTCCTCCAGCCACGTCTGGAATTCCTGCAGCATCCCCTCAGTGCCTTGGAGGGAAAAGGAAGCATTGCTTCCCCAGGACAACCAACAGGACCCTGAGGAACAGCCTCTTCAGCCAACTTCTTAGAGGCTTTGGTTTGGTGCTCATCACCACCACAGCCA